ATGGCTCTCCCACTATTTAACCCGCTTAATTCAATTTATACGAAACACTAAACAACAATTAAATGAGTTATTGCTGTTAATGTACTTAGAGGAAACAGGGTTTAATAACTCCGCTGTAAGATGAAAATAATAGGGATGTTGCTGAGTTTCGTAACTGACACGGAAATTATTAATTATCCGAAATGAACAGGCTGAGATAAGGGCGAAATGAAACCATGTCCATGTCACGAGTAAACGGAAGCCGGCTGACGATGTTCATGATATGAACATCGTCAAAACCTAAATTAGCCAATAAATCCATAGAGAACCGACGTTACAGTCAGGGGTCAAAAATGCAATTACACTCTACCAATTTTAAAATGACTAAAATTTCTTTGTAGTAAAAGTTCAATGGTTCACAGCCAGTTTATTCAATAATTTAGATTCTATGCTATAAATTAAAGCTGTCCTCAACCATTGACTCTATCCTACAAAGATATTTTGGTCATTTTAAAATTGGTAGATTGTAATTGCATTTTTGACCCATGACTGTACATTGCCAAAACAAATTTAATCATTTTTATAAGAAGCCATTTTGTAAAATTAAATGTCATAACTAAAATATTCCTGGTAAACAGAAATCATAATGAAATAAACATGGAATGTGAACACTAGACAGTATCTCACCATCACCTAGCGGAACAAGTAAAGTGGAGCAGTGCAGGGCGAAGGGCTCCTTCAGATTGGCCCATTACCGCAAACCAAGAACATGCTAACACCGTTAATTATGCCTCATTTGAGCCCTGTAATAAGGTTCAATAGCCTCGCTAGAGTGCAGCTGCGAAACTTTGAATGTTTCATTCTTATAATCAGCAAGTGTAGGAGAACCAAGCTTCGGCACGAATGGGTCGGCTCCACCGGAGTTATACTACGGTCTCATACAAAACCGGCGTGTAACTATCACAGCGTTGTGTTTCACCGTGTTTTTTTTATGTGATAGAGCAGACGGATTACCTGATGGTAAGCACTCAGCGCCGCCCATGGACACTCGCAACGGAGGAGCTACGAGTACGTTGCCGACCGTTTAGGGATAAGGAAGAGAGATTGATGGAGTTTTAGGGATTGAAGAAGCATTGAGGGAGGAAAAGGATTGGGCCTCCGGTAACCTCACTCACACGGCACGGTGTGAGTAAGGTTACCTCCCCCATCCATTCCCAATTCTTAAATATCCGAAACCTTTACACGATAATATATTCCTAACCTACATATTACTTAAACGCCGGAAACGCACTCGTTACTCCTTTGGGGTTGCGGGTATCCATGGGCGGCGCTGATTGCTTACCATCAGGTAATACGTCTGCTCGTTTGCCGACCTATATTATAAAAAAGCAAATTATACTATAGAAAATCCACTGTTGAGCCTTCTCTACATAGGAAGGACTTGTGATAATCTCCACGTTTGTTTCTTTGTTTGAGTGGGATGGAGATTGCATTTGAAATGGTTCAGGTTTTTAGAGAACGTTTTTACTTGGTCATTTTTAACATGAGACCCTAGTCAGCTTTCATGGCATCCGCTGGATGAGTATAGTGATAAATATATTCTCCTACATCATCCTAACCCGTTTCACCTCGAGCAGAGCAATCAATCAGCTAGGAACTGCTAGTAGTTGGTATGTAATTGAATAGTATGCTAGTACCACTGTGCGGTTTGTTTGCAAGTGCACTGTGGATGCACCTGCCATGTTGTCAGATGTTAGTAAAGGGCAAATGCAAGTCGCGTAAGTTTAATAAAAATATAACCGTGTGTCTTCAGATGGAATTACGTGAATTGAGTAATGATGGTGATTATATACTTTAACCTTCTCCGTGTGAGAAGAGGCCTTTTCTCTCCAATGGAAACTTATAGGCCGATGATGTGAAATAGGCGTTCCAATTGTCCTGATTGTAACTCCCGATGTGAAATGAAACTAGAGGAACATACTCGAATATTTGAGGTAACTAAGTGCTAAATATGATTTAAAAGTTAATGTATCATATAGTAGTGGTTGACCAAAAAGGACGCGACACCTTTGACTAAGGGAAAATAACCGGGAACTAACTAGAAGTAGGTAATCAGACGTCCCAACTTGGTACGCGACACTAAACTATCACTTAAACGAACCTTGTTATCCCAGCCGCTAGTTACATAGATGACCGTCCATCTTAAGCGGAAACGGGCGCCGGCGTACTTAATGAATCCTCAACCCCTAGGCGATGACAGCGCTATGTTCTCCGTGATTAAATGGCGTCAACAATAGGGATGTCTACTGTAGCCTGGTAAGTTAATTTCCTGCAATATGTCGGATATATTTAACTTTTTTTATTGCTGGCTAAAGACGACCAGCGTTAAGTGTGAGGGACGCATGCATCGGCTGCACCGGAGTGAAACCACGGACTCACGGAAAAAGAGCGTTGTGTTTCGCCGTGTGAGTGAAGTTACTGGAAGCCCAATTTTCTCTTTCTCCCCATTCTTAATTCTCCATCCGCAAACCCCTATCTCTCAAAAGACTCGCAACTTTCACACACACACTCGTAACTTTTCTGGTGTTACGGGGATCCATGAGCGACGCTGTTGCTGCAAGGCTATCCCCATCAACGAAACAGTCACTTATGTGTACCAACATTTTGTAATGATAGCAATAAAGACTACTACTACACTTATAAACATATCCCGATCTTATTTTCTATGGTATGAGACAGCAAACGAGTAGACCTTTAAAATAATGATTGCGATCGGCGCGAGTTTCAATTTGCCGGCCTTTAAGGGGTTATTTATTAGAGATTTAAAGTTTTGGGGAAATTGGCGATTAAGAAAGGGGAACGCCTCCGGTAATTTAACACACGGCGAAAACAATGCAAGTATTGATTCACGCCAGATTTTTATTATTCCGGTATCATCATTAAAATGTTCATTACCTAACACATTGTTTTTTCTGCTATTTGACTAATTGCTCACATTGACATTGCTCTATCTATCTATGCATCCATGTTTTATGGTAGAATAATATAAATAAAGAAGTACCTCCCTATCTAAGTATAAAAGCGAATTAAGTTCACATCCCTATTCTTGTTAACATCCCCGCTTGAAAGGTGCTATCACACACTACTTAGGTAATAAAATTTCTTAGAGCACGCTGCTAACTAATGACAGAGTGACTACCAAGATTTCTGTGTCGTCTGTCATTTTGTTCCCATCTTTTCTGATAATACCATATCCTTACTAATATAAGAAGATATAGGTATGGAATTGTGTTGTCTTTCTTGTACGGTAAAACGGATTTATTTAATCATACATATTTGTATCTGTAGATCTCCTGTCACATACTAACCCCGGTTTCCGAAAGGACGATCAATAATGACTTGACAAGAGATTTAACAGGAGATTAGTTAATTTTAGCGTTGACAAACCTTTCAGAAACCGGGTGTAAGTAGTCTATCCTAATTATAAGAAAATGTAGAAGCAGATAGGATATGCAATTTGCATCATAAAAAACTACATGCTTTTTTAAATAATTAACCCATTCTAAATTAATTATTATGTTTTTGGCTTACTCACGTAATAATTTGACGAGATACTCATGAGCAGCATTCCGCGACACGCGACTGTCGCGCTGCTACTGAATATGGGCCTCTAGCATGGCTTGAAACTAGTCGAGTATCTCGTCAAATTATTACGCGAGTAAGCCGAAAACATAATAATTAATAATTAACCCCTTAATATTTCCTATGCTTTCATTAATTCTTTACTTATTGTATGCAAATAGAAGAAAGGTTGAGTCCCTACGATTTCCGGATTTGATAAGAGTATGTCCCCTTGCTTGGTTACCCTATACCTATTTACATTTATTTCAAAAAGGGTATTAGATAGAATCACATTACAATTAAAACTATCTATCGTGTTGTCTTGACGTAAAAAAGTCAGTTTAAGGCAATACACAGATTGAGCAGTGCAATATTATTTATTGGTTGATATTTAATATCGATTGGTCAAGTATAAGCCTCTCCTACAAGGTTCCGTAAGATAAGGCCTACTTCTCAGGTATGGCCCAACCTCTTATTATTGTCATTCGTCCATGTATGCTCAGTGCCATTTTCAGCGCCAAGTTCGTATAACATTATGCAAGAGCATGCCATAGAACTCGACCTTTGAATTCAATCACTGCCAGGTGTAAATCTTTGTGTTTTTCCGAAATTGTGACCTTTCATTACGAAAGATAGTTAAGTAAAAACATAAGAGCACAACACTTTTAAAGTGTTCCATTGTACATAGCATGACCTTCATGTACCTACAAATTATAATCACCTACTTACTTATAAACGTTAAGTCTTTTATATACCTAATAGTGAAGCTGATTTCGCAAAATGTTTAAATACTACTGAATAGTGGAGTCAGTGTCGTGATTTTATTACCTGTTGTAAACATGATTTATTGATTATTAATGACGCTATCGACATTTTAGTCTCTTGACATTTTATAGACAGCATAAAAACGCCAATTTGATGGAGTGGCGCTACTCAAATAATTCAGCTCCTAATGGTATTTACATTTAATTTAACTAATATTTCCCTCCCTGCTTAAGTATTTAAATTGTTTCAGTAACGAATTAAAGTTTCTTCTGTGATTAATAATATTCCGATTGATTGAAGAACTACGTCATTCCTTATAAATAGTTAATTATTTACAAGTAATGATCAATTCAATAATATACGGTGAGCAGTAACCGGTCAGGGCGCGCAGCCCGCCACTGGCTCGACTCGCTGGCAGCACGTTGCAGAATTAACTTGTTACAACTAAAACTATGCACAATATACTAGAAGCATGTATCTACGTAGTCCCAAGGCCCTAGCGGTCTATAAACATGAAGCGAACTTTCGCTGCTCGCTCCACAATAGCTCGGTTTCCCAGCACCGTGGGAGTATTTTTTCCTCTAAATAAGATGGAGCATACCTAGCCATCCATTCCAGTGCTCACGTCTGTTTCACTACCACTGCACTGCACTGCACTGAAAACTTTTACTTTTCCCGGCGTACGCTATGATGGCGCGCTGGTCGGGCGGCGGCGGGCTGCGCAGGCGCATGCGAGGCGCGCACGACACTGCCGCGACCCGCGCCCGGCTCTCCTATAAATTCTTTACAAGACTCGTGCCAGAGCTTGGCCCTGTACAGTCGGGCACACCGGCCGCGCGCTCGCCCTTTCAAGCTTTTTCTAACTTCACTCTAACGTTGCGGTGCAAACTGATTAAATGATTTACAGTGTCTGTGTAATCGACAATCAAAATGCAACTGTAAAAGCTTGCCATTGTATGGGTTTCATTTAGAAGCTTTTCGCCCAAAGGTAACTAAAATAACAATCACATAATATTTACATCATTAACCTGAGCTCCATAACTACCTGTAACAATACGAATCGTGAGAAACCGAAACCAAACAAACGTGGAACGAAAACTGCGAACATAAAACGAAGACAATAACAATTTTGGAGTATAAGTACCTACGTAAGTACGTGCAGTGTTTACAACAAACTGACCGATATTTTTGTTGTAGGAAAAGGCGAGAAAACACCCAGGTGAAAGATAACACAGATGTTAAAGTGCATATTTTCGCGTCAAGATATAATCTTGAGCGACCACGTGGGCTTTAATTATAAAATTAAGCACAGGATTGTACCTGCGGCCGGCGCGCGCGCAGCCTCCGGTCGTCGTTCGAGCAACCAGTCAGACCGCATACTCCTCCCCCGCCCGCACACTTCTGTCCCAAACTTTAAACAACACACATCAATAACTACCATAACCATGGCTCAGAAGGTTTAGAATGGCATAAACGGTGCGGGTGTTTAATATCAATCGATGTTGAGTAGGAATACCTCTGCTATTTCGTACAAGACATGCCGTACAGGGTTCCCTACATATTTGTCCAAACTTGGTGGCTGGTGCACCGTATTGGGGCGGCATAAGGCCGAGTTTGTAGCGCAGCTTGTAGAATGCACCTGCTTACAGGACCGTCACAATCATTGCACTTACTACCACATTGACTGGGTTTGTTTTAACCTGCGTATTTTGATAAAGCACGTGAAGTAAGCTAAACATTAAGCGGAAAGGAATCGCTCTTCAAGTACTAATAGTAACGCAAATAGCCCAATGCCATATTTCCTTAGGAATGCTTGGAATTTAATCTTCATTGCAGTTGAATCGACCTGCGAGTCATCTCAAAAATATGAGGCACCAATTAAAGTAATTGGTGTAGCGTAGGCGCTTACTTAGTGTAACTGTATGCAGGCTAACTTATTTAAATTACACGTTCATAATTTGTTTTATATTTTGTAACATGCATCATGGTGAGCTGTTGGCCAAAACCGCAATTTACTTGTAAAGTTTCAATGTTAAGTTGTCGTAATTACATAGTCCTGAATTTACAAGTTTGCGCAAATGCTAGCCTGAGCCTAGCCGACCACGTAATGATGTGGTTACGTAAGGGCGAAATGTTACAATCAAAACAAGGGAGCACTACGTAAGTCCCTCGTCAAACAGACAATTAGATATTGTGGTTAGTTTGTCAGGTCGATGGAGAGCAACATTGATAGCCGACATTTCAAATGCCACTGTTGATATCTAATTGCAGTTGCAGCAGCTTCTCCCGTTTTAGTCAGGCATGCTACGTTTCCACTTGATTTTCGGAAGAAACAAAACTAACAAAAATCATAATATATATGCTTTTGCTTGTATAAGATTTTAAATTCTGTTTTAAATAACACATTTAATTTTAATAAGGAATGCAACATATTATGTCTTCTCCTATAACTGAAGGAGCACAAAACATTTTTAACGAACTTTGTTTAATATTGCATGTGTTGTGTATCATCTGTTGGAGTTCCTTATTGAATAAAGTAAAAATAAAAATCCCGAAAATGTTATACGAATTAACTAATGCATGGTATAGGTAGAGAAAAAAACCCTACTTACCTCGAGAGAAACAAATGTCTAGAACTGCACGGTTTTCTAAATTAGTTTGAACCCGCGGTTGCTGAGCAATCGGCATTCGTGCAACGTATCGCAGGTTCGATGATTCTCGGAACAGGTCATTGTGTGATCCTCAAGCTATTATTCCAGGTCTTGGTGTAATGTCTATATGAAATTGTAATTATGTTTGTACACAATGACATGACATAGGAGAAAATTCAAGTGTGGGGCAACGTTTTCGCTGTTTTAAAGTTACCTAAATTATTGATCATACACAAAATTTTAACCAAAAGAGATGGTTACTTATAGTGGCTTTTGAGCACATAATTATTTCAAAGTACTTATCTCAAATTCAGTTGTACGGTTGAGTTCATATCTACATATACCTATATACATATACAAAGCGGAGCAGGTACAAGGTACAGGTGTACGTATGTCATGGGATTCAATCGAACAGACGGATCACCTGATAGTAAGTTAACAGCTCCGAGGCAAAGGCGTGTTGACGGCCGTTTGGGAAGGAGTACCTACCTACGCGCTGTACAAAGGTGTTAGGCGAAACCTAACAATTGATATAATGTAGCATAATACGACTCATAATGTACTAGAGAATGCGTAGGCTTTTTATAAACGTATAGTATCACCTAAATACTCAAAAATAAAATATAAATAAATACAACTTGTCTAATTGACCTTTTTAATTCTTTATAAACACTTTGTTCTTTTTCCTCTTTTTCTTTGCCGTTCTGCCAAAACCATTTTCTCTCTTCTTCTTTAGCTATTCTTTCCAGTTCCGCCGCGCTGATTCCCTCGATGATTCCAGTATAGGTACGGCCCGTAGAACCCAACACACTGCAAAGCAAGTTCAATTATTTTTCTTGACCAGGTTGCGTTAACTAACACGCGACTACACTTATATAACAAATTTCGGATCACAGAAAAGGTTTTTCCGAGCGGAAATCGAACTTGCGACAGGTCAAGTGTAAGTGTGGGAGAGCCAAGCTTCAGCACGAATGGGTCGGCTCGACCTGGTTGATACCACGGCCTTATAGAAAACTGGCGTGAAACAACCTCTGCTTAGTGTTTCGCCGTGTGAGTAGGTAATTACCGGAGGCCCAATCATTTCCCATCCCTCCCGATTCCTTGAAGAACCAAAACCCTAATCCCCAAAAGGCTGGTAACGCACTCGTGTGTCCGTAGGCGTTGCCGATTGCTACCATCAGATAAACCATCTACTCGATTGCTGCCCCAATTTCTCTGCCACTGCGTAAACCGCAGTCATACAAAACTTATCGCTTAAATCCCATTTAATTTCAGGGAAATTAATTAACTTATTTGTGAAATACAGTCCAAAGGGCTACTCACCGGCATTCCTGTTGCGTCTGCAACACCTGGGGGTTTGATGCGCTGCAGGGGTAATGGGCGGTGAGGACGGCACAGAAGCAAGTGATGGCGGCGGTGTTGGGGGGAATGCCGGTGATGAAGCTGATGGTGGTAGAGCAGCTGGTGATGGCGCTGGAGGCGGCGAGGGCAGCTTTCGTGGTTCGCTCATTGTATGTACAATCTATTACGTCTTGTTTTCGCCATATTTCTGACATTGTTGTGTCGCACTTTGATAGAACTATCAATTTTTGTAATGTCATAATGCCAAAACGAGAAGAAGACAAAAACTATAGAAGAAAAAGATTTAAGTTTTTAAAGAGTCTACGTAAATCTTGTCATGTAGAATTTGCGTTTATCGCATTCATACAGACAGGCAGACTTTTTGTTTTAAGTGTTAAGTAAATAGGTATATTTAGTACCGAGAGACTTTACGAGGAACTTATAAATGCTGCTGACTCAGAATCTTTATAGGATTTAAGCAAACGAGTAGACGGATTACCCTTAAAATATCGCATATGTACGTTGTTTGACGCCTGATTGTGGTATCACTCAAGTTGACCCGCCGACGGAGGGACTCTTACTGATCAAAAACCAACTCCTCCATGCGACACCGGCACATGTTGGCTATTACTTAGGTGCTGTTTTATTGCCAACTACATAGTGTCCCGCTCGGGTGCAATGCTGTTACTAAGTTTCTCCACTGTTTATTGGATGTTATTTTACATACAAACCTTCCTCTATAATTACTCTATCTATAAAAAAACGCAATAGGTTTCGTTTCGTAGTTTTAAAGATTTAGGCATACCTACATAGGGATCGAGAGATGATCTCTGACCATCGTAAGTGCGGGTCTGCGGACGGCAAGTAAGGGTAGCTCGCCGCCCGACTAGAACCAGGACCCGATCAATTGTATTAGTATTCATTTTATTAGCGCTACCCAATTATCAACAGCTGACACAATGCAGGTACAGTCAGCGTAGGTCATCTTTAGGGCTCCTCTTGCCCTTGACTTCCTAGTCGCCCTTGTTGATTTCAATTCGGAAAGTAACCAAATCACACAACTTTACGACCATCATCATTAAAAATTAATAAAAAGACAGAAGAGCGGTTCTCATCAACCACCAAGGACCAAGCCATTTAATGTGCGTCAAATTCTTTAACCTACCTTTTCTGACTAGCATACTCTTTCGTAATATTAAATTATCAGAGACAATTTGAGTCCAGAGACAATCTAAATAATGTTTTGTCATTTAAAATATTTGGTTTGATGAGCTTTAAAATATAAATGATGGCACATATAGCACCGAAATATGTTATCAAGTAGTAAGGAACAGTCACAAACGCAATTGATATGTAACAAGACCAAACCAGTAGCACAAATCAAGAAAATAAACCATCATATCAACTAGCTCGCCAGTTCCCAGAAGACTATGAGCGGTAAGTCTTGGAGTCAAAGCTACTTTTAAGAAAATAAAGTTTTTAAGTTTTGTGTAAGTATACCTATTAAGTATTACCTATTTTGTACAAATTCTCCTGCTACGTTATTTATCTGGTTTTCTTCGATAATGTTTTATCAGGCATGCCGATAGAATATAAATCATTAAAAGTATTTAAGTCTTGCTCGAGGTTCACGTCTACGTAGGTAACTGTAGCTTATGGGTCCACTACATCACTTTTACTTAGGTATATAAAAAATGAAAAATCTTGTTAAATGTAACCTACATACTTACCTACATTTATTAATTTTTAATTTTGAAGTTTTGTACAAAGGAAAATGAAAACTAGTTTACAATTTATAGAGCGGCCGATTATACCGTCGTCTTCAAATAAAGTAAAAAAAAAAGATTTGATTAGATACGTGTCTACTCCATGACTAGTCAGGGTTGCGATTGTTGAGAAAAGGATATGATGCTGATGATAGTCACAATTTCAGGCAGGCCAGGTGGGCCTTCAAGGTCAGCGCCTGAGAGGGGAGGAGATGGAGGGATATCAATCCTGCCTATCATCGGCGGGCTAGTGTTAGGCGCCGGCCTTCTAGCATTCGCCTACTATATATCGCAGCAAACACAAACACCCAAAGGCGAAACGAGGAAAATTAGAATTATATGCCCCCAAATTCTCCCGCATAGGCGAAAGTGGATGACTGACGAAGAAGCTGAATATAGGAAATTACAAGAAGAGAAGCTTAAGAAGTTGAGGGAAAAGAGGAAAATTAAAATGTGCCCCAAAATTCTTCCACATAGGCGAAAGTGGCTGACTGACGAAGAAGAATGTGAATATAAGAAATTAGAAGAAGAGAAGTTTAGGGAGAAGTTGAAGGAAAAGATGGAGGCACTGGCCGACCCACTAGAAACTGGTGGACAAACGTGTGTTAGTAGGCAATATTTTGTAGGTACAAATCTTGCAATAAACGCAGTCGTGGTGACGGGCGCAGGGTACCAGTATTACAATGCTTGTAGTGGACCCATAACTAAGAAGTATTAGTAGGTATTGTTTAGTACTAGATACATCTACACATACAATCACTTTGGTGTAGTCAAATTAGCTAAAAGACGGGAATTGTTTATCTACTTACCTAGTTGTATTTTTTTTGGGGAATCATTAGAAGATACATATACCTAGGTAAGTTTTTTTTTATAGTATACCTAAGAAGAATGGTATAAATCCCTCCCCAAATAATTTAATGCAATCTTAAAATTATCTTATTCAACTACTTAGACCTTATTTTGTGCGGGGGAAATTATCAAATGACTTCTCCCGCCCACAGTCGGGCGGTAAGGAGTGTCAGACTCTTACTGACTAAAACCCCCCGTTCCTTCTCCTGCTCCTGCTCTGACAGTCGGGCGACGAGTTACCCTTACTAGCCGTCCGAAATTATCTCTCAATCCCCGACAATTTAACTATACGTAACTATGTATGTAAATAGGTTCCACCCCCTAACTACTTTTGGTAAGGCAAATACCTACCTATGTATATAATGTATTGTATTGTGTTTGGAATATTAGTACCTAGTAGAGTATGAAATATTTTTTAATACAGTTGCTCAAAAAGTGGCGTATTGCAGGGACGTGTAGCGTTCGGGATCTGGGCTATTTCACACTCGTGCTTTTTTTGCCTTTCCGGCACTCGTGCTTTTTCTTTCCCAACTGTCAAAATAATTTCTATTAAAAAAAACCAACATGAAGTTTTAACTAAAAAAAATCATAGAAGTTTTTGCGATTCATACAAATAGGTTTATTTGTTTCTAAAAAGGAGCTACCTTTACTTATTTCTCTAATATCAGAATTAATTAGGTACTTGATTGAAAGAGTTAGGCAAGGTTTCATTTCCGGTAATAAAAATACTAAGTACTAAAGACTTGGCTGTATGGGCAGTTCCCTTTGCCTACCAGAATGGGTGAAAAAAACTGCTTACATGCTACGGTTGGCGCCATTTTCAGAAATTTTCTTTTCGCGAGTTTAGTTTGTTTTTTACACAAAATGGGTGATTTCGATTGAATAGCTTAATTTTCTCGCAACTGTACCTATTAAAAATAGTCGTTCAGTACACGTACGGAACCGTCATTGCAATGACAGCCATTCCGTACTAGTAATGAAATATACTATTGAAGTAAGACTCTGATAGCCCTACAGTAATTGTTTATGTTGTAGACAACCCGGATATAAAGAAGTATCTTCCAATAATTGCCGGAGTGACAGTGGGCCTGGGCGTGCTGTCGCTACTCTCCATTGGAAGCAAACCCTCCCCCTCTAACCTCTCCGCCATGCCAATGTCTAGTGCTCCCATCCCTTATGGGAGCGGTCTCACACCCAGAGCTGTAACCATCGAAGAATCAGAAATAGACGAATGCGAAGAGTGCCTCAAAATTGACCCCAGAAAGAGACGGTGGCCCACCTTCGAAGAAGAACAAGAAGAGTATAAGAGAATAAGAGAAAGAGACGAACAGAAACGAAAACTTGAATTATTAGTACAAGAATGCATTTCCAAATATGAAAACTCTCTCGAATGTGGTAAATTTCTTCTGTATTACCTACCTCTATTTTATAACTATTTAACCCGTGATATGGAGCGCAGATCCACGCGAGACACAATTTGTTTTCAATTATTTGTCATATACCGGCAGACAGCTTAAAAACCATTGTGTAATTCCTTGATACGTTTCAAAAGTAAAGTATTCTTGACATCGTTTCGCTTTAACCTCATTTGTGAACACAAGGATCTCATAATGGTCCTTAATGGGATTGAAGCATATTTTATGCACTTTGTTTTAAGTGGTAATGAAATGATCTGTTAACACTTGTTGAATTTTCTCTTCGTGCAACACAACAGTATCTTGTGTTTATATTTATTACATTACAATGTATACAAGTATTTATTATCCCACCAATACAATAATCTCATATTTACATCTTTATTTTTTACAGATAACACAGAATTTGATGAAAATGCCAGTGGTCCTTGGGAAAAATGATTAAAATTCGTTGATATGTTATATTTTGTTTTTTAAATAAATAAAACGAAACAAATTAATAATACATGATATTGTATTTGGAACAATCTTTCTCTCTTACCGCATAATAATATAAATTATAGCTTGGTGAACGTCACTGATACAAAATATATAATAATTAATAGTAATTAATTAATAATAACTTATGTATAGGTACACCCGCCGCCGTACGCGATCCCGCTACTAAACAATTTGTTTTTACATAAAATCCGCCGTCGCCACTTGTAAAAAGAGCAACTTGCTTTGAGGGGCTGGACAATTAAGGTAGAATACCATTAACTCAAACATTTTAATACAAATATTAGACCTTAAAGACGAACACCTGTGTTTCTGTTCTCCAATAACTGAATATTTTCTCAAGCTACCTGTATCAAACTTTGACAGTTAAGCTAAACACACTAGGTAATAGGACCTAAAGCGACACTAGCGCCAATTGCTAAAAACAAAGTCGAAAACACTTCTTCAAATGAATTTTCTTCATATTTTGGACACGAAGTTGTTTAAATTCTCTATAGAGTGTCTTTCGGTAAAGCTTTGGTTAGCTACAAAAAACCTGAGTTTGAAAAATAAGGTTACAATGTGAACACGGGTTGAGGTCTCCTTATAGGCAAATGCATTGTGTATAAGTTTATTTCAAATCGCCGTCTTTACTCAAGAGACATTTAATGGTTACTTAAGGCCTTTACCATTACATTTGGGCATAACATGAGTTAAGTAAGGCTGTCAGACTTTTATAGATGAATCAAACGACAATTTTCTTAGAATGAGTCACCGTGTTATCAATCTAGTTGTTATAGATAACATGAGGTTGTAAATTCATTATATATCTAACAATGTATATAGAATTAAGTAATCACAAGCCACATAGAACATATTTATATGATAGTTTCAGTATGCATGGTTATAGGTACAAACTAGTATTATAAATGCGAAACTAAGTTTGTATGCTACCCCGTAACATTATAAGGAGGACATAGGCTTATTAACGCGGACAAATGCTAGTTAGATATGTTTCGTCTATATTGAGGTGGTCAACCACAGATTCTTGGAGACGACACGAATGCTATATCAGGCATAGTGTGTTAACTTTCTATATCAATAAAAAGGTATTATAAAGAGATAACATTTGTAAGTTTGTAGGGGGTAATCTATGGAACCGCTGGTTGGATTTCCAAAATTCTTTCACTGGTTCAATGTTTCTGCTATAAAAAAAACCGCTTCGATATTTTGCAGCCAAGCAGCGAGTGAAACAACACGAGAATAACTAGTCTATGCTAAATCCAATATTATGGTTTGTTGCATCAGTCAAGTAGACATGCATAATACAACGTAATTAACATTTCAGCATCACAAGTTACTGTGGGCAACCACCTCTATGATGCTACAGACTGTGTCAATACCTTTTGGACCAATATTTATGATTAAGATGTTACATTCTTATACAAAAATCATATTACAATCGTGCATTGTTTCTTGTACTAACAGACAATGAATTGAAGTACAATGGTGTTAAAAATTAAACTCTATTTGACCAACTTAAGATAACACTAAAGTAATAGGGTACATCACCAATAACGTTGGTGTTTGCAAGAAAGCTTGGTATTGTCCCGTCCGACTAGCCAATGTGTGAATGTGTATCGGCGACGACGTACAATGCTAAAACTAATGGCGTTACAAGTGACTATGCTGTCTGTCCATCGCGCACGCACACATCAAGCCTTCTTGTATCACGTGGCCTCTTCAGTTAAAACGCTGGAAATAATACAAAATAAAATTAGCTTGCTAAAGTTCGTTTCATAATTAGGGACAACGATTTGACATTTCGAGTGTTGCAAGTTTTTTCCGTTTTATAAATAGTGAAGTCCCGAGACCGGTATTGATCGAAAGATAGAAATAAAATTCTGGACTTCGTGCATTTTAAAAGCTTCCTGTACCCATACTAACTCAGTCGGGTTAAAATCACAATGGTAAGGAGGCAACCGTAAAATAGTGACCCCCCTTTTAGCAGCCATCAGTCCACGACGTATCATTCATAGTTACTGGTTATGGCTTTCAGCATAGGTAGGTTCCTCAAATATAATGTTTTTCTTTTAGCCAGTCTTGGATTTCGCATTTTTATAATTTTAAAAAACATCACCGCAAAGTTGTTTTATTTTGCTCAGGGTAGTTTATAAAAAAAACGGTATCGGTATTTTATTTAAAACATCGTACTCGGGCCCATCACTGTGTTAAAAAATCTGGCCACATTATTTTAAAGTTTGACATTTGCTGTTGTCAAATTTTGTCTCTAATTATGGAACAAACTATGACTACTTCATTTCATGAAGACTTTGATCAACTTGGAAATGTAGCAGCTTGGCTACAAAATCTCACTATAGTGACATACAAACGGAATGCATAGTAAATTGATTTGATCCTCTCTGGCGTCGTCCACCGCTGTGATTCCAGCAAATTAGTAATATCAAGAAACAAGCATAACCTAGCTTACATGGCCTATTGTAGTAGTTAATGATGATGTAAACTACTCACCCTCCTTTAGGTGTTATTTCCGAGCCTGCAGTGCATTGGAGAGCCAATCCATCGCCTGGTCGAGTCCCTCCCCGCGCACGGCAGACGTCTTAAAGATCTGGAAAGTGCGGTCACGTAACGCGTCCAGGCCTAGTGCCTGGTGCACCTCAGCTACCGTCAAGCAGCCTGCCATGTCCTGTTTGTTCGCTAGGACCACAAGTATTGCATTGGCTAGTTCCTCCTCCTGTAATATGAGAGGAATTTTCAGTTAGTTGATATTAATACTTGTTTTAATTAGGTAGGTGCCTACTCAAATTAAAAATAAATTATATTGACATTTAAATGCAATAAAATATTTAATGCCGCGGGTAAGCTTCTTATAAAATTATTACATTAATAAATTGTATCATTAATGTCTAACTTGTCTAATAAAACAGTCAACATTTTTAATTTGACTATTTCCAAAATAGAAAACAATGCCAACCGTCATAACATACATTTGTCAAAATTATAATAACAAGTTACCTATTATTACGCATAGAATATCTGTAAGGAAAAACTAGCCAAAATTATGGTACCCACTTACCACTTCCTATTTCCTACACAACATAGAAATATAGGAAATGAGATAACCCACATTTGTTTAATTTTATTTTACTTTTAGGACACATTATCAAGTCTACATCTATGTTTATCATGGTTGAAATCACTGACATGTAACAAAATAATCATACAATCTACAAATACTTTAAACTGTACAAGTTAATGTAGTTAGAAGACATTATATTGCAAAATTGATTTTGATATTTTTGGAATGGCTTATTGAATAGTTACTAAACTCTTGATTTTTTTTTACATATCAATATTAGGGGCTCAAAACATAGGTAATAATGTTAAAAATATTGGACACACAATATCTTTCTAATCTTTTGATGATACCTTAATGATATCTATTTCTTTCTGAATATGAAATAGTACAAATGAGCAATATTTTGAAGAAAACTAAGTATGCCAAAACAAACAACCTTTTCAATGGCTGTTTATGGCATATTGGCATAATCATTAGTTTGTCATGATCTGTAAACATGAAAATTAAGTAAATTGATATGTAATTATAATTAAATGCAAGATTTCATAAAGTATGGACAAGTCATTATAGTATTTAATTGGAAATGTTGATGATTATTGCATTCCGCTTGTTAGTTACCTAGTTCCATTTAGTTTTTATAGCTATTTTACAACTTGTTACCAAGTGGCTGGCCATTCATAATTATTATTTAATACTTTTTGATTACCTTGTTGATACATATTATTATTATGCAATAACATATTATATGCTGTTATGTTGTGAAGTGAGGTTTAACAAATGTTTATTCTATTTTCTAACAAATTATACTCCATATTTATAATGTCATAAAACCCCTATTCTTCATCGCTACATTTTAAAAGTTTTATTACACATTTCAGTAATATAATTTATTTTGATTACAAAGATTGGTACAATTATTTTACTGTAAATTGTTATTAGTATTGAATAAGTTCAATAACATAACAGAATTACTGCTACTGCTTATTTAATACAAAACTTCAATGAGTTTTCAAAGTCATCTATTTCAATTGTATCATTAACGGACAATACACACATATTGCCATCTGTTAGTGTATTGTGTAAGTGAAGCTATTATTCAAAATAATCCATACAGGTTACACTTACCCTCAACATGTGTACCAATTCATCTTTAGATATTCCTATTCGATCTCTATCTGCTGAGTCTACTACATATATTATTGCATCCGTGTTTCCATAATAACATCGCCAGTAGGGCCTGGAAATAACAACAGCATATTATATCATTACACAGTTAATCACAAAGCCTACGTACTCTCAACTGGTATTGTCCACAGAAGGCTGGCAACTACAATGTCGTTCTAATACGAATGACACAAGAACAATAACCATAACTAAACAGATCCTAACCTCTACATTTCCCAATGTTTCCTTACCTGATACTGGTCTGTCCACCAAGATCCCACACTTGAAACTTTAAGTTTTTATATGTGACTTGTTCTACATTAAAACCGATGGTAGGTATGGTTGTCACCACCTCCCCAACTTGCAGTTTGTACAATATCGTCGTCTTCCCGGCACCGTCCAAGCCGAGGATCAAAATCCTCATTTCCCGCGCCCCTAACAACCCTCTGAAGTAACTGAATAGACCACCTGCAATGTACCGACATAGTTTAATCACTATCTAGGTATGTATAACGATTAAAATACATTTTTATGACAATTTAAATCACTTACCCATTTTTCTGATAAGCTTAGCCTATTTTAATGCATTAGTTGTTACGTCTAAGGAATGATTTTGAATTGTGTGTGCACATCAAATGTTTCCAATGTTTTTATTTTTATTATCTTCACTTTCAAATTATTTATTCAATCACTTTTAGCGATAAATAATGAACATTTTATCGTAAAACTCAGCAAATCATTTGACGTGTAAGCAAGCACTCAATGTCAGTTGCCAGCTTGAAAAAAAATGACATTTCAAACATTATTCAGAAAATATTAAAAAGATAATTTATAGTTTTTCTTATAAAATAGTTTTCACTTTGATCATAAGTCAATACATATTATTATAAAATAAGATAAAATATAAAATTATAAAAAGGTTGTGCAACCACTCCCGTCAACAGTCCTCAAAATAGTATTAGCAAAATGTTTCTGTTTAGTAATATCTGTATTCTGTGTATACCAGGCACTATTGCATCTCGTAAATGTAAATCATACTTTTAAACTAAGAGTCATTGCATAATAGATGCAGGTCTACCAAATCGAATCATTTAAATTGAATTAAGGTATAAAAACTGTTTATCTGAGATATAGATACAATATGATACCCATGTGCTGTGCTGGATCTCAATTTTTGGTTTTTGTACACAGAGTAGGTACCTACTCACCTTTTTTGATAAACGATTATGCCACATATATAACGGGTTCGATATGAACACGGAACTATACTTTGTAAGATTCACAAATTATTGTTTCAGGTATGAATGCCATGATTGTGCTTAATAATACGTTTTTTAAATGTGTATAGGTACCTACGTATAATTTTGTAAAGATGAAAAATGTAAATATTTACAAGTTACAAGAGCAAAATTCCATGGTGAGACCACGTTTTTTATTATGGTCCTTCAATCTTCAACCTTCAACCAGTAGTAAAAAGCAAGCCATCACTAATGGATATCTAACCCTAACTAACTAATTAGCTAAACCAAAGATTTTGATTTTAAATATTATAAGATACATAAACTCTTGTTGGCTTTCCACTCTCAAATATTAATGTGAATAACATTACTTATCAACAATTTAATATTCATACAACCAGGACACAAAACAAACACAAAAAAGCGAATTAAAATAACCACTTAGCTACCATAATTAGACATTTTATGATTTATTTGAAAAAAAAAGTTGCATACTTTAAACTGGCCTTGTGATGATGTTATCTGAGTCATAGATAAAATTATATTAATAAGTAGGTAGGTTACATTTGTATACATGGGGGTTTTCCAAGACGTTATAACTTTTGTTACTGCGTCAATATTTGAGAAGGATTACATGACATGATACCTAACAATAAAAATTTACTTAAGTAAGTAGTAATTTAACTACTTAGTCAATGTTTCCTTTAAACCTTTGCTCTTAATAATTGTTTGTGGTTTACCTAGATTTTTGTAAAATTTGACGGTAGGTATCCAATATTTCACGTCGCGTCGTGCATACGATCATACCCAATTTGTTGCTAAGACGGTAACTAACAACATTATGTAAATAATAGATGGCGTTAGTTGTCTCTTTACCTTAAAATGCATGCCACTTCAGAGTATAAATAAATAGAGAATTTATTATTTATTAATTCCATAGGTATTTATACTGTGCCCTTAGTGCCCTTTTCAGTTTATAGAAACTAAAAAAGCAGTGCCTGGGATGGAGCTGATGACGCATTTTAATTGCTTCACCTTTTTTAAGTATATGGGTTTTATAATTTGATTTTAGGAATTAATACATTATACTTATAATGTGTCACCATCTCTTGATATCCCTATGGGGACAAAAGGTATGGCATATCTCCTAAAATGTGAGTCGCATTCTAAAAAGGTGGACAGTTCATTATAGTCGTCCTGCGGTACACTTGCCGGTATCCATTTTAGAAATTATCTGCCCCTAATATTATAAAGAATATTTGTTCATTAGGGTTCTACAGTCGATTTATAATGCATAAATATGAATAAAATATCGCACACTGCAACTGGTTCCAGAGTATTGCCAGAACAACAAAATACACCCCCTAGAAGTTCAGCTCTATTAATAAAATGTAAGTAGTCTCGCTATAAGCCTATTGATAGTGCGGTGACGTTGCGCGTTGACGTAGCGCTACGTCACGCGGCGACCCCGCCTCCAAGCGACGCACGCGCACGACACATTGGCAACGGCAACCACCATACAACTATAAAACATACAAACACGATTGATCTTGCCTTATAAGCACGGCATGACAACATGTAAGAACTTATTTGAGCAATTTTTTTGAGAATTTTGTTGTTGCCTTATTCGATAATGGTTTCGGGGAAATCATGAGGAAAATACACATTTCAGGGAATATAATCAGACTGACTGCAGCATATTAGAGTTGATATTGCAAAAGGAATTTATTGCTTTTAGAGAAGCGTTGCTTCCCATTTATTTGATGAATAAATAATAACTTACAATTTCACCTTAAATATCTAAATGTTGACTGTATTACATTGTCATAAGACATCTACAATAATTCCTGAAGTCATCATTACACCGATAATATATAAAACTTGGTAAGATATGTGAAATGTCAACACTTGGGTAATTGCGTCAGAAAGCCACAATATAAACGGCATGTGGTCTGTATCAACAGCCCACGGGCCACTGGTTACATAGCTACTGGGAATAAACCATGCCATTCATGATCCGAGTCAGTAGTCTTATGTGAAGACGAAATTCTAATACCTGCTGACTAAAGTCTTAAGCACTCCAAAGAGTGCTAATCAAACCAGGACATCTCAATGTTAAAGGAATTGGAGATTGAAAATCTTGTAGATAGGCAGTGCAAATAGCAGCAATCAAACGTATCAGCAATCTGAGCCAGATGGTAAGGAAGAACAAAGGAGCTAATATATTAATCAAGATTTCGGGTGAATGCGATAATGCAACACAACCCGATTCGGAGCAAGAGAAAGATCAGGGTGGATTTTTAGTCTGTAAGAGTTTGACAGTCCTTCTCGCGCCTCCCAGGGTGGGAGTAGTCATTTAATTATTCCTTTCCCTCAAGTCTCGCCCCGTCTTGGTCACTATACATGGATAAGAAACCGAATGCAGTTCAACCAATTCCAATTTATTTTATAAGCTTGACCCAGATATCAAAATAATCGTTAGTTACCTACAGCAAAAACAAAGCAGTTAAAAATTCAACCTAATTAATTTACAATAAGCTCCGCGTGCATTTACAGCGAGGCACAGATCAACACAAACATCGCGGCCCAGTTCAATAAACCGTGTAAATCTGACATTAAAGGCTAACACGACATTTATGGGCATTTTATGGTGATGCCGACTTCCGACAAAGCTAGCTACGTGAAAACAAAGAGATTAAAACTGGACTACTAAAATTATGTTTGTAGAAATACATAGGTACATTTGTAATTATACAATTACTAGCCATGCAATTGTCCTAGTCCTACCTAGTCCTATTCATGGCTAAACATGGCTAATGTTCTAATATTTGAAAAAGTCAGCACCTGTCTTTTATATCGGGAAAAAGCATTAGGAGATTCCTAACTTTTCTTGAGAAAGGAAGTGTAGGATTCTCATTAATATTAACCCGATGGACATGGTCACCATCACCAACCATAGCACCAACAAGACAATAGACGTTCTTTGAGACACCGCGTTGGTGGGATCCTTAAAGTAAAATGTCTTTTGCAGTACAGCATATCTTTAGAAACTTTTCCTATGTACCTACTTCCGTAAGTGTTTAATTGCGTCTAGTACAGAGTCAGAAATTGTTTATATAGTACCTAAGAATTAATTCGGGCTTCAAAGTTTCTTATCAGCAACGCACTCTTAATACCCCTGGTGTTACGGCTTTTCTTTGTGTGACGAAAATCATCGAATTACTTATCCCGCAGTGGGTGTCTCTTACTGACTAAAAACCACCCTATCCCTTCTCCTACTATCAGCCGGGACCGCGATACATTACACCCGCAACCCTGGCTGAAGATCGGCCTTATTGGGTCTGCTGGGATCTCGGTTCTCACTGATTCTGGTTCTTTGGTCCCACGCTCAGGTTAGCCAGAGACCGTCGTCGCACGGTGTTAACAGGTGGTAGGTACCTACCTAAATAGGTTATGGTGCCAGTTACCTGTACTAAGCTTTGAGACTTCTGATATAATAACCAAAAATATATGAGTAATCTTGATAACTACGACCTCATCTGACGTCGAATATAACCGTCAAATATCTGGACCAGTCATAAGAATAACATTTACATTGTTTTTAACTAACATCGGTGATTCAGCGCGCTAATTTCGTAAAAATCCGTTTATTAATAACGCGAAATATTTTGGATCGAAGAGTAAACTGAAGATGATGGACGATCTAAATATTGAACACTAGTTGTGCCAACGACATCGGTTGGAAGAAAATTTTATTGTACACACGAATTTATAAACTGAACATTTGCCGATAGTGTTTTCTTGGATTGGTCGGAGGCGTTTGACAAGTTGCGCAAATGCGATCGCTGAGAGCAGGGTAGGCAGCAAGGGAGTTTAAGTTTTATTAGGAAGCTGGAGAATATATTTTGTACTGTTCGTCGAGAATGATAAGTAACAGCACATTGAGTCCAGCATGAAGCCTCCTTCATTAACTTACGTATCCGACGTAGCTGCACTTGTCTTTCGCGCTGCTACTGTAGTATACTGAGAGTATCAGCGCCACAGTCGCCGCGTCGCATGTCAAATGCTGCTACTGAATATGGGCCTCTAGCTTTTTTAAGTTTAATTATTACGTGAGTAAGCCAAAAACATAATAATTAATTTAGAATATCTCACCAAAAGTTATAATAAAAACATAGGTAACTGATGTTATCAAACCCTATAGTCTTTGCATAAAATAAAGGTAGTCACTTATTCGCCGGGGTTGTGGATTCAAGCGCAATAAGGTGCTGCGGCCCCGGCTCAGAGCAGTAGGACTCTGATGCTTCCGCTCGCTCCACCTAGGAAGGAAAAAGTCATTTGATTTCTTTACCCCCTTAAAAATGAAATTATTTATATGAAAACATGAGGTATGCTTGGGTGCTTGAGGTGGTCGTTTCTATTTCCGTATTTTATAGTATATATATATATATATATGTTCTTGATTACGTGCTAATTTTAGTGCC